AAAAGATTAATTATACATGATTGGTGACATAGAAACTAAAGAATGCCAACTGAAAGATCCCATGGATTTGTTTCATTCTGGACAAGTTGTAAAAATATGTGCCCCCATGGTCCGCTATTCCAAGTAAGTAACTGTTATGTCAACTATGTTTTCAGTGTTTGTTCTGTGAGGAAGTTTATCTTGACTGTAAAAAACAGGGATTATTACATTTTTTCCTTTACTCATTTAAGACAGACAGATGTGGGATGTATTTTATCTTATGATAATATTAGACATCCCCAGAGTACAGCATGTCAGAACAGTGTTTTAGAGCAGCTAGTCAGGAAAATGGCTTTACTGTTTAGTTTTTGATTTTCATGTGTCTGCAGGTTGGCTTTCAGAACCCTGGTTAGGAAATACAGTTGTGATTTATGTTACACGCCAATGATAGTAGCAGCTGATTTTGTGAGATCTGCAAAAGCGAGGGACAGTGAATTCACAACCAACAAAGGTAATTTTTTAATAAACTGTTGCCTTGTCAGAATGTTTTACATGGTGATAAGCTAAATTGGCCAAATAAATGCAGTCTGTCACACAGCTTGACATCCATTAACAGTTTTGTTATACTGTATCTGATTGATTATAAAACCATAGAAATATTCTAGGTGAAAGTAAACACATTCCAGTGACAGTGTGTCAAATTAAATAGTGGAAAACTGAGATCTGTGGTGGGTTGACCAAACATAGGTGGCCATCAACCACCCACACAGCTGTTCACTCATTCCTTCTCCCCCTTCTTAGCACAGGGGGAGAACAGAAAGAACAGAAGTGAGAACTTGTAGGTCAAGATAAAGATAGATTAATAAGTGAAGGAAAGAAGGAGGAAAAGACCAACTGATGCAAAGACAAGTCACTTCCCACCTAGCACTAGCAGACCAATGCTGAACCAGTCTCCAAGAAACAGCCACCCTGGAACACACTTCTTTTGCTGCCACTCCGGTTTTATTGCTGAGTTTATTACCCTAACCCTAAAACTGAGATATTTTTAGATGCTTTTAATGTAATGCAGTAGCTGTAAAAGAGGAGAGCATGGTCCAAATAACCATCTGGCTCTCTGCAGGGGTTTTAGTGAATCACAAATGGTTCAGCAGACCCGAGTTGAGGATTACTGACACTTTGGTTTCCCACTTGAGACAAAGCTGCTAAAGCTGCCTCTGCCCCTGTGTTCTCATTCCAGCTCTGCATATCACATTGTGGATGAAAATCAGCTATGTTGGCACAGAGGAAGAAAGAGATGGTCTAGGATAAGGAAGGGAAGAGCTTATGTGTTGTTTGGCTCCTTTCTGAAGGGTTGGTTCTGTAAACAAGCTTCCTACCTGGCAAGACAGCCAGCCATGTCAGCACAGCAAAGGGGCAGCATGCAGACAAGAAGGGGCAGGCCAGGAGGGGAAGCATGAAGACTGCTGAAAATAGAGAATACTTAATTTCATATACCATGTTTGTGAAAGATGAGCATCTGACCAGTTTCAGTCAGAAAATGTATATGTTGAGCCAGCAAATGTCTAGGACATATATGTTTGTTTCAATTCCTACCTCTCTTGATAGGCGTACTGATTTAGTAACCACTAGCCAGCTACCCCTATTTATTTGTGATCCAGGGCTCAGAGAGTCACAAAATAGTCAAATTTGAAAGGACCTGTGTAGGTCCTCTTAGCCAGCCCCCTGGTCAAGCAGGATCACCTAGAGCTGGTTGCCCAGGACCATGGGCAGACAGTCCATGAATTTAGAATTTGTTATTTTTTATTGTTATTATCTGGGGGGGTGGGGGGTGGGGTGTTGTTTGTTTGTTTGTTTAATCTCTAAGTACCTTTTCATTTTCATTGGAGTAGGTGATCATCCATTGATTGTTCAGTTTGCTGCTAAAGAAGCACAGGTTTTGTGTGATGCTGCCCAGATCATCTGTCCTTTTGCAGATGGAATAGACCTAAACTGTGGCTGTCCTCAGAGGTAAAGATTTGAAAAAGCTCAGTGAAATAATGATGAAATAATTTGAGATTAAAGAATGCTGGTCTTCATTTTCATAATCATTTCTGTCTTAACTTAAAAATAGACTGTGAAAGAGCTTTTTAACCTGTCAAAAATGTCTATGTGGCAAGACACTGTTCTGAATGTTCTAAGACGCCTGTCATTGTGGTGAAACTGGGAAAACCAGGTGTATTTGCCAACCTGCCTTTTTTCATTTCTGAAATACTGAGTGTTGGCTTAAGAAGTGAAGGGTCCACTCCTTCTCAGCAGCTGTTAAATATGCATTACCAAAACCAGCTTGCTGCAAATAATTTGGAGAGTGGTTTGAGAATTGATGTGCCAATTGCCAAAATAATGAGCCAAGTCCCTGATGTCTCAGACTTCTGCAAGTGAAGGATAGTCTCTAAAATATAATTATACAGATTACATTATTCAGGAAGTGCTGAAAAGAATTTCTTCCATCATTTATTAGGTTTATAAGTACAGTGAATTAGTGATCTACTTCTATCTTAAATTAATAAAGATTTTGTCTTGACAGCGAAACAGAGTAGTAATGCATAAATGAAAATTCATGGTAACTGGTTCAATTGAGAACCATTTATTCTATGCTTGTCAGGCAGCCTTTTTCTTAGTGAAGACCTCAAATGTAGGAAAGCAAAAGATAATACTACAGTGCCAGTACTTGTCTATTCTAATTAGGTTGTCTTGACTTAAAATTACAGTATTTGAGAAAAGTCTTTTCTGGAGAGATCTGAGACTTCAGAATGGAAATGTAATTTTTTTTCTAAGCTAACTACAGTTAAGTATTCCAAACTGTAAGTTCCTTTTAGGACAAAAATATAGGCTTACATTTGAATCCTTTGTTTCTTGCACATGTTATTTTCAAAATAACAAAACTTTTTGCACTTAATCTGCCTTTATAAGAAAAAATATAGAAGAAAAAATCTGTTGCTGTTAAGTGAAAGTAAAGGTTATTTCATGCAGCTGAGGGAGAACAGAATATTACTGAACTCAGATCCTTCCCTGCACTTCAAATTCTCCCTTTTCAATCCAAAGTCATTTTCTGGTTAGAAGAAATCCATGACCCGATGGAGGGGAAAACATATTTTTTTTTTATTTTATGTACACTGTAAAACACTGTTGATTAAATGCTAATTTATCTTCCTTGTGAGTCCATTTTGTGGACAGAAAATTGAACTGGAAGAGATTAGTAACTTGTCCAAATGGAGACTGAACCAGTACCTAAAAGCTGGTTCTAAACTGCAAACGAATCATTGATCTACAGCCAGTACTGTCTTGGTCTACTCAACCACACATTCTGAAGGTTGTAAGGAACAAAACCAATGTATCTGACTGAAATTGATCTGCATTTTTTCAGACGTGGAATACGCATGTTCGTTTTCTTTTAAAGGTGGGCGATGGCAGAAGGTTATGGTGCTTGCTTAATAAATAAACCAGAGCTTGTTCAAGATATGGTGAGACACGTACGGAATCAGATCAACAAACCAAGATTTTCAGTATCTATTAAAATAAGGTAGATCTAAGTGATGTTTGTGATACATGGAATAATCCTTTTCTTTTTTTTAAGAAACATTCATATAACAAGTACACTATATGTAATTCTGTTAATGTAATATTACACATTATAATATTTTCTTTACATGTAAAGACTGCTGAGACTTTTTTGACCCCAGATGAAAGAATATCTGAGAAAAGTAGTCCAGACTTAGATAGTAAAACCAGCACAGGCTTTGACTACTTATCCAGGTAACATACTGGATGCTGAGTTTTCTTGCAATCCAGCTGATATGAAAGTACAAGTTAAAAGGTTCATGGTTCCATTAAAAAAAAAGCAACACACAGTGTGTATCATCACAAGGATTTACTTTGTGAGCTGCTGGAGGCCAGAGCCACATTTGCTGCTGGCTATAGGGAAGGGTAACAAAACTGGGAGCTAGTCCCCACGGCTGCTGTAAGGAACACATCCTTCTGTAAACTGTTGCTTTGCATTGCTTTGTACTCCTTCCACTGTTCATCCCATAATCAAACATCCCATATGGGTTTTTCATATTTGCCAGTTAAGTTTCAACACAGTTTCCAATCTTTTGGGAAAGAGGAACTACTATAATTGTTCTTTTTTCCCCCACAAAGGAAGCAAAATAATGATGTTTGGTTTAGAATCTTTTGGACACCCTTGTTCAATCTCTGTAAAATTTATCACGTATATTTAAGAGATGTGATGTAATTAGGAAATGATAAATTACATAGTGGTTTCCGTACATTAAACTCATATGTCTTTATTAAAATAAACCAACCAAACCTCATTATCTTCCAACAGTAATATTTTCTGTATTTATAGTTATTTATACAAATCTGTGATAGCTCCTCCTTATGGAGGACAGCGTTTTATACAGTTCAGGTAACTTATTATCTAATGTTTTCATTCTGTGGAATTGTAGGATCCACGAGGACTTAAAAAGAACAGTTGACTTGTGTCAAAAAGCTGAAGCAACTGGAGTTTCATGGATTACAGTACATGGGAGAAGTGTAGAAGAAAGATACCAGCCTGTACATTATGATGCAATTAAAATAATTAAACAAAGCATGTCTATACCTATTGTGGCTAATGGAGATATTAGAACTTTAAGAGATGCTGAAAAAGTTCATCACTTGACAGGAGCAGATGGTAAGATTAAACACTCTGTTTTCTAAGCAAACTTACAAATGAGATTTTAAAGTATTTATTTTAGCTATAAGTAGGACGATACGAGTGCTTTACACTCTTTGAGGAGACAAATGAAGAAGGGTGTTTTAGATGCTGTATAAAAATCATAAACAGAATCACTTGTAAATGCTCTAGAGCACTGCTATTCAAAGCCACAAATAATGATTTCCAAAGCAAATTACAAAAGCTCTTTGCTTAATTATGCTATATCATCATTCAGTAGTGGAGTTCAGGGAGACCTTCAGACATTCAGTCTATCTCTTTATGGAGCTAAACATCTTTTAAAGAGCTGTGAAATTCCACTTGGAAATCTCTACTTCATGCACATAAGGTCAGATTTCTCACCATAAGAATATGGCGGGGAAATGAACTATTCTTAAGCCAGATATTTGAAGTTAAGATGGTTAGCTTCAAGGACACAGTGAGGTATTGCACTCTCATATCTGTGTTTACGTTGTCCTACACTTCAGTGGTAAAATTTGAGGATTTTTTGCAGGATTGCCCTGCGGTTACTTAGTAGATTCCTGAAACCATCTGTAGTTTCAAGACAATACAGAAATTCAGTAGATGTTTTGAAGAAGGGATCTGTATCTACACACTTTGGTCTTTCAGCTAGAGAACAACAGGACAGAGGCAAGTAGCTAGTGTCATAAGGAAAAGTTCATGTGTCACGTTTCTTTTGACACTACTGGTGTTTAATAACAGCAGAGACCAGTTGAATCAAACTGCTATGCTGCTACAGTGACTCGCCCCCCTCAATACAAAGTAGGAAGGAAATACGTAACAGAAAAGAGTATTTTGATAGCCCAGTTGACTTTCAATAACAAAATTATGAATTATCAGTTTTTTTTCTGTCGTGTACAATAGTGAAAGAAATTTTTCATTTTTTATCTTCCTCTCTTTTAAGAAAAGTCTAAATGTGATAGGTTGTATGTTGACAGTGCAAAAAAACACAATCCCATAATCACAGGAAAATTACAATAGAACTTGTATGGGTTTATCTGACAATTTGGGGGTACAGTTGCAAATACACTGGCTTGCTCAGAAAGATTACTGCAGATCAAGAACCCTGAGATTTATATAATTGAGACATCAAGCTCTTACTGGAAGAAGGATTATAGGTCAGCAAAATTAGCCACGTTGCACTAAAATAACTAAACTTAGCCTACTGCTACTCTTGCATCTTTCCATTGTAATGTTATGTTAAAAGGCAAGTTTTTATGTGTGTAGCAAACATAACCAAAACACAATTGAGTTGCAGTTTCAAAAGTAGGGAGGCAAGGCTCCTGTGTCCTGGGCTTCATTTCACAGTTCTGGAGAGATCCATCTGGAGACATCATCAAGTGGAATGTGTTGACAGGTGTAGGTACTCTGAGGCTTAGACTGTTAAATGTGTTTCTCCAGTACAGCTATAATACCCATCCCTGTTCTCCTGTTACGTGCCTGTAGGTTTTGGGTGGTTGTCCCAAGGGGGTGCTATAAAAAAAACCTACAGAAAGATTTAATGTAACTTACTGCTTTAATTTCCAATTTGAAGGTGTAATGGTGGCTAGAGGACTCTTAGCAAACCCAGCAATGTTTGCAGGATATGAAGAGACACCTTTGAAGTGCATCCAGGACTGGGTTGACATTGCTCTTGAGCTTGGAACTCCTTTTACATGTTTTCACCATCACTTAATGTACATGATGGAACGCATAACTTCAAAGCAAGAAAAGAAAGTTTTTAATGTTTTATCAAGTACTGCAGCAGTACTAGATTATCTGAATGACCATTATGGTTTGTGATAACAGAAAGTACTATAGTTCTATATGAACTTGTATTTTTGCAGTTATTGATACATTGTTAGATTTTTAATTGTGTTTCTACTTTTTACTCACATTCCTATACCAAGTATTTTCAACGCAGTGTAACATTCTAATCAAGGTGATACTTCATATTTTTTAGTATTTTTATGTCAGCATTTTTCACTCTAGAAGGTAGTCCAGACTGCACAAATGTGGAATTCTCTTTCCAATGCACTACAACACAGAGGATTGATAATTGTAAGACTCCAGTAATTTTAATTTATTTTTTTGCCAAACAGTTGCATATAGCAGTGTTTGCAAAACTAGGGCCTTTCTTACATAAAACCTCCTAAAATAAGGACTACTTATAAATAATACTAAGAATTTCAAACCAAAAGAATACAAAGGGAGAAGTTGTAGAAGTTTTTGCCTCAACTGACTAAGCTGTACTTTTAAATTAGAATAGATGTTTCAAGCTTAAAAGACTCTGAGGCCTTGAAGCCCAGCACAGTATCCTCTTTTAAATTAGAGGTTGCTTTTGAAGACTAAAACTTTCTACACTTACTTACAACTCAGAAAAATTCCACACTTCATGTAGTGGAAGAAGCCTGGAATAGATAAATGATGATGGAAGGAAGGAAAGAGTAAAATGAAGAGGTAGCTTAAACTATCTCAATGTACAAACTTAGCTGAATCTAAAATACAAGACTTGAAAGTTCAATCTAACTAAATTCAGTTTTATTTATTGTATAATGATTATATAAAATATTAAATCCCTGTCATCTACCAAAACAGAATTTTATAGGTCAAAGAAAAGCCGACAGATTTTTCTCAGTGGGGCTCTTGAAGTCCTTTTTGCCTGCTGGTATGTTGCTTATCAAAGCATGACAGCCACTTGGCTTTGAATCTTTGTATAGGGGGAAATAGTGAAAATTAGAACAAGATAATAACATTACACACCAGCTGCACTTGTTCTGCAAGGGAAATTTCACAAATCTGTACAGTACAATTATTTGCAATCAGATAATTTGTTTTCTTTCAAAGTTTGCACAGAAATTCATACCAGAAATTGCTTCACTTTCTGCCTCTGAGACTTCTGTGAATATACAAGTGAATAGTTCTAAATTTTCTAAATAAACTACTTGGTTTTCTATACAATTGTACTTATTTTTTATTACACTATAAATTATGACAACCTGGGGGAGGGGAGTTTGCTTTTGTTGATACTCCCCAAATCATTTAGATATCAAAATACTTGCAAATTTTTAATTCAGTTGCATAAAAGATCATTATTCATAATGAATGTCTGCTTAGGCATATGAACATAAGTTTGAAAGGCATGACCTGGATCATCATATCTAGTTCACTGTTGAAGACAGTTGAGTTACATAACTTCCAATATAGTCACCTTCCTGATGTGTTAGCAAATGGAAAACTACAAACATGCTTTGCTATAGTAGGCTAATTGAGAAAATCTCTGCAACCTTTTTTGGTGCAATAGGTTCTACATTCCTTCAGACAACTGCTTTTTTTCACCCTTCTGGATTATAATTTTTTTTTTACATTGGATGAGCATGATTATATGTTGTATTCCAGGAAAAAAACCCAGCAATGTCTTCTGCAGTTAATACTTCTCTTTCTGATGCCTCACTTTTCCTTGACTAATATTCATCATGTAATTTCTGAGCTCCCTGTTCTACAGCAGAAGTTCTTATTTCCCAAATGCATGACATAGTATTTAGGACTGCTTAATTTCCAGCCTCAAGTTCATCCAGCTACAGTGCAATACTCAGTTCTCCTCAGTTCTGAAAATGCCTCCAGCCTTCTGCATCAAAATTAAAAAGTAAAACCATACAGCTAAAACGTGGAAGAAAGGGATTATTGAAAGTACTGACCAAGCCCTGTCTTAGCATTTCCTTAAGATTTTTGTGATTTGACAAGCAACTATTGCTTGTCCCATTAGCCACAAGAAGCAGAGAAGAAAAAGTTATTTATTATGATCAAATAACACAAATGCAAGGTGTTTTGTTTTTTTTTTCTTTTTGGGGGGAATGCGAATTTTAGAGGACTTGAAATACCTTGACCTATTTAGGACATGAATCCTTGATCATTTTGAAGACAGCAGTTGTTGTGCCTGTGTGAGATCAGTCATAGAGATTTCTGCCTGAAGTACAAGGTTGCTGTTAATATTGCTAGTAATTGTAGAATGCTTTATCTGGCCAGTTATGCACCATGAAGGTTTATCATCCCTTTCTAAGAATGAAATTCATTTTAAGCCTTCTTCTCTTGTGAATTTTGCATACATCTGAACACACTCCACTGTATTGATGTAGAATAAATGGCAAAATTGGAGTTTATAGCTGTACTCTAAGCAGCCATACTGTTCTAATATATATAAATTGCTAAAGATGGGAGTTAGCTGTTTAACTCCCAGCATTGTTCTAGAATATGGCGGGGGGGTGGAACTAGATGATTTTAAGGTCCTTTCCAACCCTAACTATTCTATGATTATAAGCCATTTGAATATGGGAAAATCCTCATCCCCAGTTTAAGGCCACTAGATAGATTCCTTCCCTGTGGTGTATGATGACACGGACTCCAGGGCAATACAGAATCGTTTACTTAACAAAGTTGCTTGATTATGTACTTTAAGCTTACAAGGGTGTTATGATAACCAGCAAAAACCCACCACACAAATGTTACTCTACAGGTTGCTCAATCACCATTTTTTGTAACCATTTCATTATTACTGTTCTAGCTGATCTGTACTTTAGGTGCAGCAATCTATGTTGTTGCTTAAGCAATCATGGCTCTTGCAGACCCTGTTGCTTTCTACGACTACATAGGGGTTAAGTACAAGATAATCTGCTCCCAGAACTTCCTGTTTGAAGCAGTCTATGAGGAGCAAATATTATTTTTCTCCTTGTTCCATTTACGCCAGCACTTTGTGTCTAGCCTCGCATATGCAGCTGCACTGTGTTCTTAAGATGGTCCTCAACACTTCCCCTGTATATGTTAGTTACAATGTCACCTGGTACTTAGTCCTTTTCTAATTTTCAAATTTGAGTCTATTTTCTAATTTTCAAATTTTTTAAAGTTTTTCTTCAAGTAAGATAAGATACAAAGTTTTGTTTCATTTTGTAGGTCCTTTGCCTCCTGCAGCTGGTCCAGCTCTTTGTCCAGGGTGTTAAGCCACCCTGCACAACAATGCCATATTCTTGTAATATCTCTACTTTCTTATAACTTTTACCCTGCTGGAGTAATCCCTCACACAGCCCATACAATACCATTTTCTCTATTCCTTACTGGTAAGTTGTTTCTTAGGTCTTTTCTCTGTCTTGGGTTAATGCAGTGTGTGATGATGTTATACAAGCCATACAAGCTGTCATACAAGACAAACTAGAACGGAACAAGTTTGAACTTTGCCTTTGCTTCAGCAGAGGATTAGTCAGATTTCTGTCCTCTAACCAGCTGCTAAGACACAGGTGTTTTGCATTTCTACTTCTCCCACCTTACTGGTAGGAGAAAAACTTATTTCTTATAGCTGTAATGTCTTAAGGTTCATGAGGTTTTTTTCCCAAAGCAGCCAGACATTATATATATTGTATGTCATATTTATCATATGATAGGATAGGCAGCCTTAGATCAACAACCCAGACTTACACAGCTTCAGTAGAATACCTTCCAGAAGTGCCAGAATGCACTCAACAGGAGAAGGGAGGTCTCACAGGTGCTTGCAGGAGGCTTCTCTGTGTTCCTCAGATCTCACTCCAGGTCGTGGGGAGTATGCACTGCAGTGGAAATGCACAGCAGTCACTGTAGAGTGAATCTGAGATTTTACAAAGCCCCTGAGTTGAAAAAGCAGAGTCTCTGGCAGCAGGGATGTGCAAATATGGTCCTACCAGTATGAGGCTAAGCTGCTGGGAGAGCAGCTTACAGTGCTAGTAAGAAGTAAGCAGCTCAGAAATGGGAACTGCTCTGGAATTAAAGGACAGAAAGTATGTAATAACATTTTAACAGCTTAAATAAAGTATCATGGCTGTAGGCCAATAGCTAAAATGTAATAACCAGGACATACTAAGAGGTTATGTTTTGTCTATACTTTTGATTAAATATGTTTATGAAGACATGTTAGAAATACTTCTTAAAACCCAAGCTGTTTCCACTGTGTACATTGGATAGAAATAGCTGACTGTGTCACTCTCCAATACTTGTTATGCATAAAAAATTATTTGGGATATAACCTTTCAACCAGACATTGCTTGGCGGCAGCTAGGAAAATGTTAACACACTGGCTCCATCCCCAGGCCACAGACCTGTGAAATTTTAGTGTAAACAATTTCAGATTGTGAGCAGCTGCAAACAGCTCTGCTCAAAACTGCTTATGCAAGAACTTCCTACCCCGTGTCAGCTCCAATGGATTAAAGTAACAAAGAACTACTATTAATGGCATTTAATCTGTCTCATTTTGATGGAAATTAATCAGGACAGCATTCCCAAAAAGCAAGTAGTTGTGTCAAGAGGGCTGGTGATACCAGGCTAGGCAAATAACCTCTTCCACCTGCAGCACATCAGGATCTGTTATGACTGCAGGCAATCAAGTAAGGTGCTGGGTGGGCCCTGGCCTGTGCTAACTGATCAGAGCACAGAACACTGGATATGAATGACACATGGAACTGCCAGATGTGACATGCAGCAGTGTGAGCAGCTGATAAAAGCTTCAGATAGCTCTGGGAGGCATGGCTGGATTTCAGCAGAGGTTAAGGATGAATTAGACAACAACTGAACAACAGAAACTGAACTAAGCAGCTAACTGGAGCAGTTTTGTGCGTCCTTTCAGAATTAGAAACTCACAGGCCAAGAGTGCCCAATAACTTCATCAGTACCTCAGTAACGCCACATGAGGCCAAGACTGCCCAAATAATGGTATCAGAAATACTGAGTGTAGGTACAGATACAGCAGAACTAGGAACAACAATGAAAAGTGATTAGGGAAGGGTTATATAGGGGTGAAGAACAGGAGTTACAAAGGTAGCAAAAGAGATGGTCAAGAAATGGGAAAATAGGTAACAAGCTATGGAAATAATGTGCTTGGAGCCTCACTGTGCTGGTAAAAATCACCACACAGGACAGTGGGACAGAACAGGATTTTCTGAATTAATGGTTTATTCATGAGGTCCAAACATGCCTGTTTGACAGCACTGGACAATGTTTGTATTTATGGTGTCTTTGTGAGTACTGGACTCATTTTCCTGAAGAAAACAGATTTATGGGATCTTAATATGTTATAGTATTGTAACGCACAGAGGGGGGGATGGACGGACAGACATACACAGTACTTCAGTTGAACTTCAGAAATAACAAGCTGAGCTGAAGTCCCTAATCCAGTAAACTTAAGTCACCGAGCAGTGGGATGATTGCAGCAAGACCCCAGAGCAAAACACTTACAACCATTCCCTCAGTGTGAAAAATGTATTTTAGCTTTCCTCAACGTGGAGATCCCTGCATTTTCCAACAGAGGCGTGGTCCCCAATAAAGTCAGTCAGGCTCAGTCATTGGTCCACGTCTTTCTTCGGGCCCTACCAGAGCGCGGGCACCCGCGGGGGACAACCAGCCAAGGACGGCGTTCGGAGCGACGGGCGAGGAGCCCGCCCGCACCTTCCTCGGGTGGCACACAGCCCCCTCCGCTCCGCCCCGCCCCGAGCCGAGCCATAGCCCCCGCCCCGCCCAGCCCTGGCTCTCGGGGCGTTTGTCACTCAGTCCCGGTCCGGCCCACATCCTCCGAGCACTGCTTCCGCTCGACGGCGCGGGCAAGAAGGTCCAGATCACTGTTTGCTAGCCCCGGCCCTCTCGGATAGGGGAGGCTCCGCTCCCCGCCCCTTAGAGACTCGTCGCCATCGGGCTCAACTGGGCGCCGGCGCTGAGGTGGTTTGCGAAGGCCGGGCCGCCTTGAGGGCGAACGGGATGGGCCTGGGGCGGGCCAGGCCTTGCCTCGCCTCCGCGGCTGTGCAGGGGGGAACGGGCGCGGCGGGAGGGAGCTGTCGGCCTGCAGCACAGGCGGGACTGCAGTCTTTTCGCGCGGGGCTGCGCCGGCGGCTGTGGTGGTAGCGGTGAGAATCCCAGCTCCCTGGCAGGCGGAGGAGCTCTGCCCCGGGGGCTGGCTCGGGACGGGCAGTCGGTGCAGGGACACACTCACACACAGCCTGCGGTTAAGTTACATTGAGATGTTTCCCTTTGAAACTTCCTGGCCCAACGCGAAGCAGCTGGGGCGCGGGGGAGCTGCCGGCGGCGGGGTGTCAGAGCCCGCCTGAGCCGCCTCTTCCTCCGCAGGCCTCGGGACCATGACTTTTCAGTGGACGGCAGTTGCTACCTTCCTGTATGGTGAAATAGGAGTGATTCTGGTGCTGTGCCTGCCGTTTATTTCTCCTCTGAGGTAGGACTTAAGTGTGCTGGCAACCCCAGCTCTGTCTTCTCACTTACTTGGGGTCTGTTTTACACTTTTGTTGTTATAAACACGGAGCTTTGTTGCTTCTTAAAGTAGTTGTGACCTGAGCTGAAAGGATACTGTTTGGGACTCGAGTGTCTGGAGTCTCAAGAGCCGTAAGTCTCTTTAGAAGAGTGGTGTTTGGTTTTTACACACTGCTGATTCATCCCAACAGGAGCCAGGGTGGCCAGCATGAGCCCATTGCTTGCATCAGTAAGTGGGACCTCTTTGGGGTTTTTGGAGCAGCCAGCATACAGGACATCTGACTTCCCGTGCTGTGAGCTCAGCAAGAAATGAGGGTACAGGTTTTTCTAGGAGTTGTTTGTCAATGTTGTGAGGAGTAGCTTTGCAGCCCTGTATATGCTACGCAGTGTGGTTGCTGAAGAGATAAGAGACATCTGATACTCAAAGCTATCCGCATGTAGCGTGTGTAAGGGCTGTAGGAAACTTGTGATCACTTTAAAAAAAAAAGTGGACTTCAGCTTGATGCAAAAGCTTCAGAAATACTGAAATAAAGGCCTCTGTGAGTTTATATGTAGCTTAATGAGATAACATTTTTGGAACATGACACAAACACCAAGAAAAATTATCATTCTTGTAAAATAAATGCTCTTAGTAAGGGAAAGAAACAAAACGTGTTAATTACTCTTACCGTATGAAAAGGCCTGGCTTACTGTGTTACCTTGTTTCCTGTAAGTAGCTCTTCAAATTTGGTAATGTTACTTTTATTTCTGTATGGGAAATAAAGCTAGTCTCTCTGCAAGAGGCAAGAGAAAGGATTATGATTTCTTTCCAGAAGATTATTAAATCTTAAAAAATAAACAAAACCACAAAACAAAAAAGATGAAGCCTTTAAGCTTTTTTCTTTAAAAAAAAAATCCGCTTTGTGTTGTGTAAAAACCATTATACCTTTGCTTTCTGCATTTTTAAACTTAAATTCATATTTAGGATGAAAAATGTAGCTTTTACTGTAATACCTTCAGGAACAAAACCTGGAACAAAGCCTTGCTGTCTAGAGAGTCTGAATTTAACTGCGTAAATGTGTAGGAGAGTCTTAATGGTTGGATCCTCCACAGCCAATGCCAGTGATTAGTCATGTTTCCTCAACTTTAGAATTTGAAACTGTTCTAAAATCTAAATCTTTGGTTTTTACAAACTGGCTTGGAAAGGCCTCAGCATTTTAACATAGCTTAGTGAGTTCTGGTATTTTCTGTTGTTTCCTAATCAAAAGGGCAACTGTATGTAAAAAGTGAGAAGTATTTTGGGAGTTGTAATCATCAGATTATTAATGGCTTATGTGAGGCAACACGCTGCAAGAATTTCTGCAGGCTGATGACACATGCAGAGTATATTGGGAATATTAGCTTCACATGTGATGTAAACAGGGCTTGAATCTAGTCTATGTCTATGAAAAGCAAATTCATAACCTGAAGTGTACCAAAATCTATTCAAACACTAAACACAGTGCTTGTAATTATATACAAAGGATAGATTTTTATGCTTGGTTTATAGCATTCAGCTCTTCCTTTGAACGGTGGTTTCTGAAAGAGAGAAATCCTTTGTGACATGTGCAATTATCTTCCTAATAAAACTGTTGCAGGAAACTTGTGTGGTTACAGATTAGATTTGGCTGCTCTGACAGTGCCAGAGGGCAACGGTTCTTAGTGGTCTGGGAGCTGGTTCTGTCAGTGGTAGAAACATGCCCTATTAAAGACAGACATGAAGCTGCTGTTCTCTGAAGTTTTGATTTACTTGCTTGTCAGTCTTTAAACAGATTGTTTGCCTCCTTTGTGCCTGCACGTTTTTTGAGTGTTAAACTCGGTTCTGAATTTGCTAACGAGCTTTTAAATTCCTGGGGAATAAGTAAATTGACAGTAAAAAGATGCAAGTAAGCAAAAAAAAACAGAACTCTAGTGCCAGATGCAACACATCTTTAGTTGTGGCCACTATTGTAATTTGGAGGATTACATCTATGTGACTTCTGTCACCAAAAGGAAATGGGAGTGTTAGTAAAATGAATGCCCACACTTAAGGAAAAATTAGTGTAAAAAAGTAACATAGGAAGACTTTGCATTAGAGATTTACTTTTTCTGTTTTAGCCTGAATATAACTTGGCTGTGTAGTTGGCCTAAGATTATACCTTAGAAGATCACTTCTTAAGTGGAGATGGGTATGAAACCTGGAGAATCACATGTTTGAAGAGTTAGCAGGTTAGCTTTGTTTGAGTTGTAGCTTGGCTTAATTAAAGTAAGCTTTTTTGTTGACACAAACTGTGGCTGTCTGCTATAAAGAATTCAGATGATACCAAAAGATTTAAATGGGGTTTTTGAGCATACAATGCTAATCACTTTCTTTCTGGTACAGAGCCAGAAGGAAACATTGGAGATGATGCAATGGTCTAATGTAAGTTCACAGTAGGTTAAAAACTGCTTTGT